AATAATTTTGGATTAGGCCCTGAAATATAGACACTAACTGTTCACTCGTCTTTCCTGCTCCTAACAGGAAAAGTTCGCTCCACTGAGAAACCTGTCACTTTGTCTAGATCAATTGTTTCTATCAATATGCTGAGGGTTTTGTTACACTAGATGAACAATATGTATGTTGACTAAAGTGCATAAAAATTACATTTATATGTATAATCATTAATAGTTAAATATTATACATAATTCTACTGCAAATGAAAGAGCCCAAGAATTTACAGCTTCATCTTGATATTAAAAATTTATGAATTTACAACATCCTGACAACCAGAGAAGACTGCTTAGTCCATCATGCCAGCTCCTTTTAGCTTTCCACATAACGCAGGCACATTTGACTTCTTCAACAGACCTTTAATTCAATAGCAATTCTATTCCATATGTTCATTATATCCCTATACTATTCTTTACTGTACAGTGTCAGTAGAGAGACAAGGTGGGTGAGGTAATATCTTTAAAGGACCAACTTCTGTTGGTGAAAGAGACAAGCTCTCGAGCTACACAGAGCTTTTCTTCAGGTTGGTCCAATAGAAGATATTATCTCAACCACTTTGTTTCTTTAGTATCCTGGGACCAACATGACTGCATCAACACTCCAAACTATAATGAAGTGTCTGTAAGTACTTCTTCATAAACACATGTATTCAGGACTCAGCTACCAGTATTTACTACAAGCTGGGACAAACAAATGTAGCATTTAAAACAACAGGAATGCAAGCAAAAAGCTGCCACATTTCAACATTCTATACAAATTTACTGAAGTTACACATCAGTTTTTTAAAGTATAGATATGTATTATTTCAAATTGGCCATTAGAAGTTGGGGGTTTTTTAATCTTTGTCTTTAAAATTTAGCATACTACAGATTGAAAATGCCTTTGAAAATGTATCAAAACAGAAATTGCTATAGCTCTTCAAATGGTAGGCAATAACTCATACAATACACACTAGTGAAAACATGATGAGCAAGCATCTCAGTCTTATCTCTGACCTTCCCAGTCTTCGCTTGTTTAAAATCACTTACAGTGACGATGCCACATTACAGAGCACGGGGATGCAGCAGTCCGCCCAAGTGCTACACAATACAGTGAGCTGTGGCTCACGAAAGCTCATGCTCAAATAAATTGGTTAGTCTCTAAGGTGCCACAAGTACTCCTTTTCTTTTTGCGAATACAGACTAACACGGCTGTTCCTCTGAAACCACAATACAGGAGAGGGGCCTATGGAACTAGTACTGGGTTTACAATAGCACCACTGGGGCCGGGCCCATGCTCAGAAGGGGCCCCAGCCTGCTCTGCTTGCACTGTGCCCTGAGACCCCACCAGCTCTCCCCCGCCCACCACTTGCTCTGCTCAGCCTGCAAGGTTGTGTGGGGTACTGCATTTGTCCCTCTGGCCATAGGGAGTTGGGAGGGGTGGGGGGTGTTGCAGAGGTGCTGACTTTCTGATTTCTTTGTGGGTGCTCTGCCCCAAGCCTTGCCCCCACTCCACACTCTCCCCCCAAACCCCCATCATGCTTCTTCCTGCCCCATTCTTCACCCTCCCCCGAGGCTCCTGCCCTCGCTCCACCTCTTCCTCCCCTCTCTCCCAGCACCTCCTGCCAGCTGCTGAACAGCTGATCAGCAGGGCCACCACTGGGTGCACAGCACACACTATTTTTTTTTCTGTGGGTGCTCCACCCCCGAAGCACCCATGGAGTCACACCTATGGGGTTTGGGGGGGGGGGCTGCTGTGTACCATGGCACGGACCCTCCCTCCAAGGGGAAGGGGCACGCTGGCAGCACAAGGCCAGCCAGGCCATTGTGCGTCTGGCAACTGCTGATTTGTAAATAGTGTCCTCACACTGGGCTGGGTGGAGCGGAGCTGCCCCTGCCATGCCATGCCCCACTGCCCCTGGCTGGCCCCTTGCTCTGGGGACTGACCTCCTCAAGCCATGCTCCATTGCTTCCATGGGGGCCCACAAATATGTCTGGCGCCAGGCCCACAAAAGGTTAATCCAGCCCTGAAACACAGCACATTGTAGTTGAATATGTGTTCAAAGAGTTTGCCTCAACTATTATTGCTCTTAATATCCAAATTTTTATTAAGGTGTAAAATCACATCACTACAAAACAATGAAAATGACGGCAGTCTGACATTATAGAAATTATATTTATTTTAAAGGAGTAAAGTGGCTTTTACTGGACAGGCTGGAGATGTTACTATAAGGGATACGATGATGTATCGGACATGCAAGACCGCACAGGTCTAAAAGAGCCTTCTGGTCCAATCCTATGGCTTTAATCCATGACAATCACATAGATTCCATAGCTTCACACTTGAACTTTGACCCAAGTTTACCAGCCCACATAGCATTGTCTTCATTCTTGCATTTTGCTGGAGTCTTCCTCCTGACTTTGCAATTTTATAACAAATTTCATAATGAAGCAGCAACTGTACTTCTACTAAGGTCTGGTCTACACTTAAAAGTTACATCAACCTAGCTATGCCACTCAGGGTTGTGAAAAAAGTTGTGCCCTGAGTGCCACAGTTCCATCAAACTAACCCCTAGTGTAAACACAGATAGGTCAATGGAAGAATTCTTCCACCAGCCTAGCTACCACCTCTCAGAAAGGCAGATTTACTACATCCCCAGAAAAACCCCTTCCATCAACATAGGAACTGTCTATACTACAGAGGCACAGCTGCAGCACTGTAGCTGAAGGATACAGTCACATTAACACTTATTTACCATGTTAAAACAAACATTTTAGATCCTGAAAGATTTTACATTTCACTATCTGATATTTTAATTTTGCGTTTATTATCTCAACCTGGACAATGAAATTAAATCAATTAGTTTTACTTTTGTTTACAGTCATGTTCTCTTTCTGGATCTTACACATAGGCACAGTTCTGCAGGGTCTGAATATCAAACACCACAGGAACAAAATTGCTTTTAAAAAATCCAGTGGAAGCTTTAAAGAAAATCATTGAAACATTCCTATTGTTCTTAGGTTTTACCAACCTTATTTCCTTCTGAAAAACTAAATTATAGATAGAATTTAACCTGAGAGTTTCTCTTTACACTCTGTTAATTTTTGCAATAAAGGAAAACTTGACTCAGTTCTCAACCTTTGTACTCTGATAACAAGTTCATAGGCTGTTTTATGGCCGAATAAATTCAACTGAATTGTGAGAAATTAGCTCATTCCACAGAAAGTTCTTTACCCTGCATGAGTAAGCCAAGACACTTATTTTAAATAATGACACACACTTACTCCCACCTTTGACAAAAACAGTGTGGGTTGATACAGTCTATCAACAGCAATTACCTAAGTAATAAGTAACAAACATCCTTTCATCTAGTCTATTAATTTAGCCATTTCAAGTTTTTACAGGTATCTGGTAGTGTTAGGATTTACTAGTGAGGAATCCATTGGTCAAGCATGTGTAAGTATCTACAATACATAGGATACATTGTGCATTGTATTCCACATAATGGTTGATTAACTGTGCAGTGAAAGAACATTTTTATTAAACTTTGTTCTGCTTGAAAATTAATGTGGAGATACAGAGCTTAGAAGTCAGCGTTTTGATAGTGTAAATCGTTTTTGAGAAAGTGACAAGCATAAAGTAATCAAACCTGCAAAAGGGCAAAGAGCTTCAACAGAAAGCATGCTTTTTGCAATCCCGATTATATGTCCTTAGAGCAGTCGATACAAAACCTGGCTTTGTCCACACGAGGAGTCTTTACTTTGTATAGTTGTACTTGCACAGAAATGTTTAGGCTTTTGACATGGAGACTACAATAGTCCAACTGAAACCCAGCGTAATTTTAGCATTTACCTTCGCAGCGGTTGTCTGTTACAGAGTAAAATTATACAAAACACCACAAGAAAGAATTTCTGAGTGAGATGATTAAAATGACATTTTCACAGGGTACAAAAAAGCACTTTATCTGTACATATGCACAATAAGAAAGTTCTCACTCTAAGAAAAAAAAAATCACCCTGCCAGGAAAAGTCTACCTTCTTCCAGATGAATCCCTGAGCTCTCCCTTTCAATTGCTTAAATCTTCAAATACATAATTTAGAGGCCCCAGCATGAGACCTTGACTCTTTAACTACTGTGCGGGAGCTCAGGATGTGTCTGTGAATACTTGGGACTCATGTTCTAGTTTGGCCCTTCTATTTCTCCTTCCCAAGTAATTGGCAGACTGTATGTTTATTTAAAGAAAGGTGTGTGAGGTGAGAGCTACTGTACACAACGAAAATGCAAGAGAGAATTAGCTACTTTCCTCCTAACGTCTAACCTCTTTAACCTGCCGATTTCTAAACCTCTCTAGAAAAGCCTCTATTTGGGGTAGAACAGGGAATTTCGAGAGTCGCATCTAAATCAGTCCGACGACTAAGTATCTTTTCTACAGCTGGTGGGGCAAGAGACCTTGCACCCTACGAATAATGCTCTGGACACGGACACGGACACAGGCACAATCGGATTTGGAAACTTGTCCCAACAACCAGCTCAGCCGGAAAGTTCCCAGAACCTCCGACTCCCTTCCCAGCCCCTGGGTCCGGCGAACGCTTCCCCTGCCGGGCCGCTTTCCCTCGCCCGCCTGCGTTCCTCCCCCGCCCCGACAGGTGCGCGCCCCCACCGCCCGCCCAAGCGCCCGGCGCCCCCAGCCCTCCCCGGCAGCGGGGCTCCCGCTGCCGCCTCCCCGCAGTGGCCGGGGGCCGGCGCGCGGCGGCCCGGCAGAGAAAGACCCCGGGAGCCGGACCCCAGCGCCCCAGGGCGGGGGAGAGGAGAGGTGGGTACCGGGGACCCCAGCGGGCCGGGGGCGGCCCCAGGGGCTGCCAGGGAGGGCAGAAGAGCCCGGAAGGGGGGTGGCGAGCCGAGGGCCCGGGCCCTGCCGCGGAGCTCTCCGGCCCGGGGAGCCGGGCTCCGGCCGGCCGCTGCCGCGCCGCGCGGCCCCGGTTACCTGCCGCCGCCGCCGCCGCGCTCCGTCCCCAGCTGATGCCGCCGCGGCCCCTGCGCTGCTGCGGCCCCGCCCCGGAGCCGAGTCCAGGGAGGCGCCGCAGACGTCAGCGCTACGGAGGGGGAGGCGCGGCCCGGCCCGGCGCGCCCGTCACGGCCCCCCCCCCCCTCCGCCGGGGTTCGGCCCGGGAGCTGCCGGGCTGCGGCTCATCACGGCCCCGGTCCCCTCTCGCGCCGGCCGGCCGGCGCCTGCCCGGGGTCCTCCCCCGCCGCAGGGAACCCGGCTTGGTGCCCCCGGCCCTTGGGGCGCCGCCGCCACACTAAAACGGGCCTGAGACTGGGGCTGAGTCCGGGCGCTCCAGGCACCGGCCTGGTGACCTGCAACCCCTGGGCGCCCTGCTCGAGCCTGTCCGGCGGGAAATGACCCTCCCTGTGTCACCCTTTAGCCCTGGCTCCCAGTCCTGGCCCGGGCAGCGCCCTGCGTTGTGACCTGCAGTATCGGGCTAGGGAGGGGAGGGGGTCACCTCCACTCAGCTAAGTGCTAACATCCTGCTGGTTTCAGAGGAACAGCCGTGTTAGTCTGTATTCGCAAAAAGAAAAGGAGTACTTGTGGCACCTTAGAGACTAACCAATTTATTTGAGCATGAGCTTTCGTGAGCCACAGCTCACTTCATCAGCGATCGCTGGTTAGCTGCAACAGGAGTACAAACGGCAGGGAAAAGCCAGTTGCAAACAGCCCGTCTACATTGCACTGGGAGGTGTGATTACATCAGGTGTAGACAGACACAAGACCGCTTGAATCGAGCTGGCTCTGCCGTGCAGTCAGGGCACTATGGGCATTGGCCTGGGCTGGCCACACCATTAAGTACCCAGGATCCTGGGTAGGCTTGCACAGCTCAGGCTGAAGCCCATTCTGCTTGGGCTTCACTGCTATCCCTAATCAGGCTAGCTAGATTAGAGCCAGTTTGGGCACATCTACACAAGCTACAATCACAGCTTGGATTCATCGTAGACATACCGTGAGATTTTACCACATTAGCTAAGAAGTGGTAACTTCTTTTCCTAGTAGAAATAAGATCTCTGCCTCTGTTTTCTCCTATATGCAGTGTTGTTGTAGTGCAGTTGGTCCCAGGAGATTAGAGAGATAAAAGATATTACCTCACCCACCTTGTCTCTCTGTTTTCTCTTACCTATTTAGGCCCTGATCCTTCAAAAGTCTTAAAATGCTTAATTTTACACACTATGGGTAATGACAGGTTTCAGAGTAGCAGCCGTGTTAGTCTGTATTCGCAAAAAGAAAAGGAGTACTTGTGGCACCTTAGAGACTAACCAATTTATTTGAGCATAAGCTTTTGTGAGCTACAGCTCACTTCATCGGATGCATTCAGTGGGTAATGCCATTTAATTCAGTATCCACAGTACAAAAGATTACAAACATGCCCTTTGCAGGATTTAGGGCTTGTCTACACTTGAAAGTTAATTTAAATTAAGGTAGTGTGGGAATTGTATTTGCAACAGTTATTGCTGAATAACTCCATGTGTGGACATACTTATTCTGGAATAAGAGAGCTTTATTACTGTTTAGCCTTCATAAATTCTTCACAGCAGGAACTGTCTCTTAGGTCTGGTCTACACACAGTTTTTGTACTGGTATAACTATGTCAATTTACGGATGTGTTTTGTTTTTGTTTTTAATCAATGCCATTATATTAGTACGCCACCACCACCACCCCAGTGTGGTTGCAATTATACCAGTATAAATATGTTTATGCAAGTATGGCTTATTCCCATGCCAGAATGGAAATAAGCCATACTTGTATAAGCACATTTTTACCAATATAACTGCATCCACACTAGGGACATTGTGCCACGCTGACTATACCAATATAGGCTATAGTTAAAGCAGTTCAACTTTGTTCTGTAGACAAGGCCTTATTGAGTATTTGTAAATACGTAACACAATGGGGCTCTGATCTCAGTTGGAGTCTCTAGATACTATTGTAATACAAACAATAATTTAAATTATTAAAATTGAACAATTAAAATACGTATTTTTCCTTTGACTATTTATTCCTTTGTTTACTATTTGTTTTTTGCCCAGCTTGGTTATTGAAATTTACCAGACACTTCACTTTGCAGTCAATTTCAACTCTATTTCACTTTGAAGTTCTGATACACTAATACAGGGTTGCAACATTTAGACTGAAAATATTTCAGTTTCAGTATTTCTCAATCTTTTTAAAGATTTTATTGAATCTTTTAAAAGTAATAATTATTTTTAAAAAAGAAAATTAATTTGGGGACTCAACTACTTGGCTGTGTTCCTTTAATGTGAAATATTTGTTTTACTAGTTTGCATACATAAGAGGGGATGGAAGTGCTACTTCTTCCTTAATATCTCCAAGAGCTAGCCTTTTCTTTCCCTTCCCCAGCCAAATCTCTTATTTAGGCCCTCAATATATTCTGCATTGACTCCTAAAACATCCTGTTTTCTGAAACGCACACTGCCCCATTTCACACAAGATGTAACCACTAAAAAATCATTTTCCTCACCTGCCCATGTGATCACGTCACTCCTCTCTTTGAATGTCTCCACCGGCTCCCCATATGTTATTGCATCAGATTTAAACTTCTTTTCTCCACCTTGAAAGACCTACATCATTCTGCCCCTCCTTAATTGAGTTTTGCATTGCTTCCTTGCCCTTCATTCCAGCCTTCTCAACTTTCTCCACACATTCATCAGCTTCTCCCACAGTCACCTCCATGTCCTCTTCTACACAGTGCTCTGTGAATAATGTGACCAGCCTGAGCTTATGCTCCAAACCCGTACATTGTCCTCCCTAAGTCCCTCAGAAACCCACTTCTGTTATACTGCTAGAGTGAATCTAATTAATTTGTATTTAAAAATCTGCTATTCTCTTTCTACTAACCTCTATATCTTTCTGTCCTTAGACTTGGCAGATTAGGACCATTCTGTCCTGAATGTCTGAAAAACTTCCAGAACATTCTGGGTATTATCACACACGAATAAATAATTGCAAAGTAATAGTCTTCAAACTGGTTTCAGAGTAACAGCCGTGTTAGTCTGTATTCGCAAAAAGAAAAGCAGTACTTGTGGCACCTTAGAGACTAACCAATTTATTTGAGCATAAGCTTTCGTGAGCTACAGCTCACTGAAGTGAGTGTCTTCAAGTCTTCAAACTGTATTTTATCCTTAAGAGCTGATGTTTAGCCATGCCTATTGCTAATCTCTATCCTAGGAGAATTTAAAGGAACCCTCTTTCCTCCCCCAGGATTTTTCCAAAATAAGTAATCTATTGTTATTTATTTGTGTGGGACCAACACTGTACTAGACTCTTTATGGACAATACAAAATGAACATGTGTTGTGTATGATTAAAAGTGGGTGCTTAATCATGCAACTTGGGAGGAGTGCAGCTGGAGCTAACTCCTGTGTCCTGACTAACATTCCCTGTGTCAATAAAACAAGTTCTGAACAAGTTGGTTTTGTTCTCTCGATCACTGCATGTGCATGTAAAATGCCAGTTTCAGTCAGCAGCTGCATAGCTGACATGCCCATTCTGCAATAATTGCAGAGTTTGAATTGCGTCTGTTTGACTCAAGTGGTAGGGAGCATGGATCATGCTCCCTGTCAGTAGCCGGCCCAGGCTGGAGAAGCCAACCAACCGACCAAATTCACGTGCCACCTGAGGCACATTATGCATACGCTAAGAAGACCCAAGTGGCAGGAAGTGCGGTTCTACACACCTCCACTTTATCCCTTGAAAGTATGTTAGCAATAAACGGCAGCCATGGCTGTTCCATTTCATGGCATGTCTAGAAGAGGAGAGACACCAGAAATGCTTGTGCTGTGACTTTGTAAGTGCCAGTTTATAATGTACTTAGAGTGGCCCAACACAGCACAGATTAAGGGAAGGAATAGAAGACCGCTCTTCCAAATGGCGGTTTGTGCCTGGGGCTGTTTTGCCAATGAGAGTGGGACTGGACTGTTAGAATTTATCCCGTCCGTTGCAATATTCCTTTATAGGTATGGAGTAGAGTTGGAGAGAATGTGAAATAAGACAGCTTATTAATACTGCAGAACACTTCTGTGTCAAATACTACTTTTTATGTTTGGACTATACATATTTTTAAAAACATGATTTTTCAGTATGGCAGTTCATTTGGATTTTTATGGACAACTTTATTTGGCATCATTTTAAAATAATTAAGGGTTTGGGTAAATTACAATATTTTTGCATTTCTAGAGCACTGGAGTGGCACTTCTCGTTTAAAGCATTACCCTTTGGGACATTATTTGTACATTCTATAAGGGCCTAATGTTGTTTTCCATTTGCAAAACATACACAGATATGGGTAATTATTATCTAGGGGGAAAAACTGTGCATGTGTGAAAGGAAAACTGAGTTAAATATAAAATGTGCTGAATAGTTAAACTCTGTCATAGCAGAAACAAGATACATAATGCCAGGAAATCATTCAACAAAATGTATTTAATGTATACAAATCACTCAATTCCATTCTCCCTTAGAGAGGTTTTCTTTTCCCATAAAATTAAGGAAAGTGAAAAAATGATAGTAGCTGTACTTTGGAACTTTAGAATAAATGGTCCTGAAACAGAGAGGAAAAGTTTGTAGTTATCACCATTGCTACAAGAAAATATCTATAGAAATGTATGTGTGAGTTAAACATTCTCAGACTGCTGCTAAAAAACCCACAAGTGTGAATACACTATATTATTCCAGTCAGTAAACTGAAGTTCATTTTCTGTTTTGGAACAAATGATTTTTTAGATAATATACTGGATTACGAATATTTGACCTTGGGGACTATGGCATCAAATTTATTTTATTTATTTATTGGCTATTTTATTTAAATTTTATATAAAAATTCTATATAAAACATTTCTTCTGTTTGTTGTGAATTATAAGTATCAATGATTTAGAAAGAAACACAATCTGGAAGATGAATACAAATAGTTCTTTTTAAGTGAGCCTTGTAAGGGACAATTCAGTTAATGGATATTGCCCTATTAAACAGATACATTCTGTGATAGGTTGAGTTAATGATTTGAAAAACTGCTGTTGCATCTGAATGCAGGGTATA